GCTGCTCTCCATTTGCATCCACCTGTAAGCCAACCACTTCTATTTATGTCACTAACTTTGAGAAAGTGAACATTCCTCCTATCGAAAGACCAACTCTTGGCTTTTCCACCCCTGAATACAACTCTGTCACCATTTCTTAGCCCTGAAGTGGGGGCAGACAGTGTCTGCTAGAGTTTGGAGCTGAATCAAAGCAGCTGGAGTACCTGGAAATTTGGGAAGATTGGCATTTTTCACTGTACTGAGAATGGAAATTTGAATTTGGACATAGCTTCTGCTACCAGCCTTCACTGAGGATACGTTTAATTGTGTGTTCCCCTGAGTTTCCCAGTAGACTGGAGTAACTCCCCCACCATCTGTTGTGGTGGAAATGTATTTCGGCAGCTCCCAATATCTGTTAAGGCCAAGCCTTTAAAACAGTATAAGGGTGCTTTATCACCCAGCTGACTGCAGGGGCGGGATCCATCTCAGCTATCTTCAGCCATCTCAGAGGCCAGGGAGCCGGGCAGGCTTCCTCTGTAGTTAGTGGACGAAGATAGGCATCTGCAGAGAGTAATCCATCCCACCTCTCTCTCTCTCTCTCTCTCCATTAACTGAAGAGGAGGCCAGATAAGTAGTTCAGACCAGACACATTACTCCTGAATGGCTGCAGCTAGTCAAGATGAATTCCACCCTCAGTGTCCAAAACACTAACATATGTAGTTTCTCTTTACTTATCACAGTTGCAATGCCTGTTACTCATTGATTTAGGAACAGATTTTCTCGGTGCGATTTCCTTTTCTCTGTGCAAAACTTTCATTATGCAGTTTTTGCACCCTAGCACTCAGGAACATAAGTGACAGGACATTTCCTGCACAGACCCACAAGTACACCTGCAGACCAGGAGCTGTGTGCGTCTTGAGTCCCTCCGAGCATGCCTGAGCAGCGGTGTAAAAGCCCCCGACAATAAAAAGGAGATCAAGCAGAGGCAGCTTTCAAATTCAGCTCTGCAAGGGCCCCCAATCCCCATGCTCTGCTTCCAGCCATTTGGGTTTCACTCGCTTCAAGTTGTTTTGGAAGAGCAGCTAAGAGGCCAGCACTCCTTTTGTGAAACAATGCTGCTTGGGGACAAAACGTGTGAGACCACTCTGCCGATGGTCATCCCCGTGACGTGCCTCCCTGCAGGACAGACAGACAGCGTGACCCTTCCCACTCCCAGCCCTCAGCCATCCCAGCAATGCCGTAATCCAGCCTCCAACTGTTTCCCAAGCGGGTCCGCTCCCCTTCTCCCCCCGGGGGTGTGGAGGAAGACGGGTCCTGGGCTGGGGCGTCTCCATAGTGCTGTGTGCTCTCAGCATGGTGGTACCTCGTACCGCCGCATGCCTCGCATGCCGAAACGCGCAGCGCCCATGGTCTGGGTAACAGTGGTGTGAGTCAAAAGGGGCTAGTTATGAGATTGGATACTACCATTTAAAGATAAGCTTCTCCATGGTTACCACTCTCACGCAAGGTCACTTTCCTGCCAAACCTCCTCTCCTCCCTCCCTGGCTCTCTCTCCTTCCCCCTCCACTTTTTTTCCCCCCCCCAAACATGCTACATCAAAAGAGAAAATGAAAACATTTAAGATAATCACAGTCTGACTATTTTAATGCAGGCTGTAGGAAAGGAAACATGTAAGCCAAGTGCTCTCACTGTGCAAGCAGAAACACACTCTCGACCTCATAAAAGTAGCATCTGAGAAATAACACTTGATTAAAGCAGCCAGTCCTTCATTTAAGTAGGTGCTTATGGTAGGGAAAATATCCAAGGTTTCTCTAGAACAGGCCGCCGGCCTATCACAAAAAGCAGGAACAAGCCAGACAGATGAATTATTGCGAGACAGCTGGGTTTCAGCCGGGGCGCGAGGAGATCCCTATTATCCCGTCCACCTTTCTTACACAAATGCCTCTCCCCAGAGAAACCGAGTCATTAAAAGCCGGCTCGTTTGCTCCTGACAGGCAATATGCATTGAGTGAGAGGTGATACATTTTCATTTTCAGCAAGAAATCTTAGTCGCCCCAAGGAGCGGCTTGCTCAGGAGAGCGGTAACGGAATACAGGGCCTTTCATCTCCACCTCACCGCCGCGAGCGCGGCCTGGCTCGGTAGCAACCCAGAAGTTGTCAGCTAATGGGTTGTTTTGGTGACCTCCATGAAACAAGGTTGGTGGGTTTGGTCCGGTTTTCAGTAGACAATAACTAGAACCACAAGTGGTGTTAAGCAGAAACCATATTAATGAGTTGAGCGCATGTTGGGTAAGGGCCGAGTGAATCGCCCACGCGTAGCCGTGCCATTGCTGTCCCTACCCTTCAGAGCTGAGGAACACAAGGGAAGCCCTGCAATCGGCCAGTCTGCTCTGCTGCCATGGGGTTCCCCAACTTCCAAGATCCCCACTTTGTCCTCATTTGCACAAGCAATGCATGTTAAAAACAACAACAAAAAATCTTAACAATTTTGCATTCTTTCGGAGCTCAATAGCATCTAGTAGGCACTGTTTTGAGCTGAAAATAGCACAAACTTGAACTACTACAAAGAGTTTTCCAAAGACTGGGCCCGACAGTCCAGGCTTGCTGACTTTTGAGTGCATCATTTTGCAAATGTAAATTTCCTTTTTTGTAAGTAATTCCTCATTTTAATACATTTAGTGAGTGCAGGACAGCCCTACATCTCTCTGGGAAACAAAAAAAAAACCCAGCCATCCCTCCTTACTTTCTTCCTGTTCAACGCTGCCCACAGTCCCAGTCTGAGCAACCCCCAGGACAGTCATGGCCTATGGAGTCCAGAATAATCCACTCTTAGAAAAGCTTGCTTCCAAGTAAAATGCAGAATTCATCCTGAAGTGAAGGCGTCTTGAATCCTTACACCACCACCCCTGCCATAATATCTTGGCAATAATTTGTGCCACTTCCTCTGCCATGTTTCCACAAAAGACTCACAAAATAGTTACAATCTCAAATCCCAGATTCGGAGTGAGGAGCTACCTTTTAAAGCTATCTATTAAAGCCAGCACAATTTACAGCACATCACACACAAGCCTGTTCCCATCACATCACATCACATGACTAGATAGGCATCTTTAAAGAAGACATCCACCAACTGCTTAGATAAGACATTCACCGGGGACCCATTCCCCAAAAGGAAGGGATGCAAAGCGGGCAGAAAAGCACTATCACAACCCTGAGGATGCCCCTGGTATTTGTTTCAAATTGAAATTACGTAGGAATTAGCATGGGCCCAAATTCTGAAGAAAATGGGCAAGAAGCAGTAAAAAAAGTCATTGCAGAGAGAGAAGGAAGGAAGGTCAGGTGCGGCACAGACAGTGTTTCTTTTGCTGTCAGTAAGATTCAGCTGGACATTTTGTACAGATGTCATTAACGTTCAAAACTGCCAGACCGCCTTTCTCGGAAGGGACCGTTAAGCCTCTTGCTTGAGGCTTTAAATCTCTTACTATCAGTAGCAGATGCATTTCCTTCTATAACTTACCTGGGACTGGTAACTGTCAAGGAAAGACCCTCAGGAGTCACCCTATACAACCTGTATTTCTTTATCTTTTCTCCCCCAGATACACATACGCACACACCCGTGATCTTCTTGGCACAGTTGCCTTTGCTATTTAGTGAACAAAAGAAAGCTGATCAAGGAGATATTGGCACACCAACAACTGGGCAGTAGACAATATCTGTACAGTACTTAAGAAAGAGCAAAGCACAGCCCATGAAGACTCCAGCACTCTCCACAGACTTCTCAACCATTCAGACCTGCTTTCCTCTGAGGAACATGACTAGGGAAAGCCAGGGTGTAAAGCTACAGTTTTACAGCTGAAGCTGAAGGGAGAGGGGGACCTAAGCACAGAGGGAGCAATGCTCCTCAGCCTGGACAGGAGACATTCAGCAGAGCAGGAGCCCATGGCGTATATCATCATGACATGTGTGACAGCATATTTTCATTACTACAGGATTAAAACTTTGGGGGTGTGGGGAACAAAAAAAAAACCCCAAACACTTGAGCAGCCTAATTATCCACAGTAGCGGTAGTGATTTAGTATAAATTAATTTTGCAGATTACCAGGATTTTCTCCCTTAAAATAGTCCAAGTTCTCTGCAGCAGCTTTATTAAATGTGTGTGTGTCTATGTATAAATACATATTAATTTTGAATTCTATCCTTCTGTTGTCCCTTTTTTATTTTATTTTCATGATACAGGAGAGCAGAGTCTGGTACTGCCAAAACTCTTAGTTTTCTACTGAAATGTAAATTTCCCTGGTCTTGCATTTTCTGCTGATAACCAGCCCACAGATTGCAACAAAAGCAGTGATTTGAACTTTGCATTTTATTGGTCTCTGAGATCACACCAATGAAGTCAAAGTTATCTGCCCCAGCTCATACAGCATTATCTTTTAACTTAATGGAAGTGAAAGAGAAGCCTGTGCTCATTACCCAAAGGATGCAATTATTACTTCCTCTCTGTATTGTTACTAGTCAAGGATAAATTCCAGGATATGACCTTTTCATTAAGCGTCAAGCCAAAATCCACCTGGGGCAGCCTAAGGAGGCTACCCTCATCCTTTCACTCAGTAATTCAGAGCAAAGGCCCTTGTCATGTACAGTTGAGAGGAATCCTTGCAAAAAATCAGTTTAAGGGAACATCTAATAAATGTTGATCAATAGATGAAATCCCAAAATCTTTCTGTCTCCCTCTGCATGATCCCATCACCAAAAAAAAGCATCATTAATTTAACAGATTGACCCTCTCATGAATATCATGCTTTATCTGTGCAAAGTGTGAGGTCACAAAAAAGACGATAGACAGAGAATATGAGTGATATAATGCATTTAGTGCAGTAAAATTTTCAATAGAAACCTGAACTCCAAGAGAAGAATGCATAATAGTGTTGAATTCCTTCTTTTTTTTTGCTTTGTTATGGCAATAATAACGTGCCTTTTGAAGTTCATACAGGGAGATACAATGCCAAAAGGCAAATACTTACAATACAAGAGCACTTGGTACATTTATTTCCTTCAGGCCTAAATTCTTCTCCTTCATTGTAATGTCTCCCTTCAAATATACAACCTGGAAAACAACATTTGAATAAGTTTAGCTCAGGATAGTACATTGCCTTTTCTCTATAAGATGTCCCAACATAGGACAATATGAAAAGTAAATTGTACCATCCTCTCTAATACAAATCACTTCAGAAGCCCTCACAAAGGCTTTGAGAACCCCCAACTATCTTTTGGGGGTAAGAAAGCATCCTTCTACAGCAGATAAATTTGCACCAATGAGGCCCAAGCTAAGTCAGGACTTCCATTAAAAATGGCTTTGAAACACTTTTCTACACTGTTTGGTTTTTACTACTCATTCTTACTCCTGAGTTTATATTAGATGTTAGCAGAAATTGTAACAAATTATAATATAACAAACCCATTATATCACAACTGGAGCGATGCCTACCTACAAAACTGCTGTTAAAATCAAATTAGCCTATAAAACCATGTTAATTTACCACTGCGCTTCACAAAGGCAACCCATTCCTAGATGACCTTAAAAGTTCCCTTTCAACCCAGAGATTCTATGACTCCCACTCCCCTTCAAAAAGAAAAGTGAGTCTCCTCCTTTAGGATTACTCTTACGCTTCCCCTCCTAATGAAATCCCACTCATCAGCGAGACAAACCCAGCTGACAGACCCTCTGAAAAACTATGTAAATACATATGTGGCTATTGCCGCAGGCTATTTGCCTGTGCATCCCCTAGTCTGCATGTCTTCTACTAAAAAAAATATTAAGCATGCTCTTCTTGTGGCATTTAGTGCATCGCAAGCCCACATTTTAGTAGCTTGTCAAGTATAATGGAGAAATTAGAGGCAACCTCTCAAGTAATGATGGCTGTCATTAGAAATACAGTTGTCCATGTGGAACAACATCTTCCCATGAAATCTCACCTGGACACACAGGACAACACATTCCCATGAGTTTGGAAGGGTTTTTGCAATGAACAACACACTGGACCTCTGACTCTACTATCACTCCTTCCTGAAAAAGAAGCAGGTCAGACATATTCATTGTTAGTATGGTTGCTTTAAGAAGCAAATAATTCACACTTACTAGTAGTATAATTAAAGCCCAGCACATGCTGCAGAGCTCTGGATTTTAAAACCTCTTTTCTTTCTGTACCTGTTGCCTGTTATCAGGATTCAGGTTAATCCACAGTCAAAAGATCCTCTTGAGTCTCCCTGACTCCAGACACAGGATTTGCCTTAAAATGCATCAGGTAAGAAACCAAGCACCTTCTTAGGAAAAGGAATCCTGCTTTATCAGGAATCCTTAGCCTCAGTAATCTGCCATGCAGCCCTGGTGGAAACAGGCCAGATACACGACATTCTCGTCCCTCTCCCCTTGGAGAAAAAATACTCAGAAAGTAGATAAAAGCATCTTGTTCTGTAGAGGGGAGACGCTTATCTTTGATGCTTTGCCTGATAAGTATTAGTAAATTAACATTTCCTATACTTCTTGTTCAAGAATTCAAGAGCCATCCTGAAAAAATCTCTGTGCACAAAAGGTTATTTTTTTTTGCCACTTGCAGCTTTGCATTTGGAGGTAAGGGAAACCTGTTTTTTAAATGTGTGGGTCTAGGGTAAACAGGATCACCCGGTTTTGCGTTTAGACACTGAAAAAGGCAGTAAAGAATTGCTTATTTCATGTAGCTCATAGTGATCAGAGTATCTAAATTCAAGCTGTGAGTATCTTTTCATCGAGTGCAAGGATACAGAGTACTGCTACTCCAATTTCATTCTTCTCAGTGTACTTGTGTTAAAAATGTGGATGGGTTTTGTAGACCAGAAGAATCACAGAAAAAGAGAACAGTCTTTAAATTCTTTTCTCTTATTTATAAAAGCTCTTCATACTCATTCATGTCTCCTCTTTCCAACAGCTGCAATTCTTAGTAGCTGCCTGAGTGCTGTTATTAAAACTGCATCAAACTATCAGCAAAAATCACAAATCTGTTCACAGACAGAAACTAAAATTGCCTACGTAATTACTTGGTTTGTGCCTGAAAATAGACAATCTTAAAAATGTTGTGGTTACAGATAGGCAAGCTATGAAAAATACCACTGTATTAACAGCACAGGAGCCCAGGAAAAGAAGATTTGGTTGTGGGTTTGTCTTAAAGAGCATCCCAGGTAAAATCCATGGACACATACACACAGAAGTGTCCAATTACTAAAATAATAATTTGTATCTCAGAAAAGGCTTAGCATGCTGAAAAATTAGGACTTATTTCAAGGTCAAGATAGCAGGAAATGGCAGGGCTGCATACCTCTCCTTCAGCAATGTTTGGGTATCACAATAGTCAAGTCATGTAGGACCTATCCTTCTGAATGCTTGGTTATAGATGGTCCCATCTGAGTGGATTTAAACTACTTCAAATGCAAAGTCCATATTGTGCTTTGGGTATAAAATATTTCAGGTTATTTGGATTGGATAAAAAAAGGCTCAGAATTTCATGGGAAAAGCTCGTGACTCAATTACCATGATGCTGATGACAACCTTACCTGGCACTGATATGTCACACAGGGATTGCTGGGGAGATGCCATTTCATAGAGCTGTTGTATGTATTTCCACCAAAACTGCAATCTAGAGGAGGAGGCAGAAGCATGTCAGTTCAGCTGAATGCAATGATGAGGATCACAGAGAAGCATCCTAAATGTGCCCCATCCTCCACCCTGGGCTAACAGAAGAGGTAAGAGCTGAGAGCTGGGGCTGATAGAGGGATCGTGCCCTGGGAGGGCTGGAAGGAACTCCTCCCTGGTATCTGCTTCTCCTGTGTGACTGGCCAAACTCCATTCAAGACCAACTGAAATCAGTGGCAATTTACCTAAAAATGGGTGTTGGTGGTTATTCTGCAGTCCATCCGGAAGCTGCTCAGCCACCCATGCACTGGAGTGGGGAGCGGGAGGAGAGAGGGTAAGAGGAGAGCTGGAAATTTTCATCATCCAGCCTGGCTGTGCTATCCTCATCCATTAACCAAACCCTCCTGGGAGAGCTTGTCATCCAGCACAGCTCAGCATAGATGCACTAACATCGACAGAGCTACCCCTCCTTTATACTTTTTTGCTTTCATGACAATAGGGATCAACACCCACATCAACTAAAAGCCATCAGGCTCTTCTGTGTGGGTGGTGAATATCTGAGTGGAGACATTTTGGAGTCTCACAGGGTTTAGATTTATATTTCTTTGTGTGTTATCTGACAACTCTGTTAACAGAAAATATGTTGGTTTGCCCGTGCACAGGATTGGCACATCCTTTTTTTTTTTTTTTTTTTTTTTTTGTGCAAAATGAAGTTTCATTGAAGCTGTTTGGGGAAAAAAAAAACATCACATTTTTTATTACATGTTCCTACTAGTTTTCCTTCCCACTCTTTCAATGTTTTCTGGTATTTTGCAAAAGGGAAAACCAAAAAGGAACACAAAGAAAAGAATAAAATAACTCACCAGAAAAGCAAAATTAGAAAAAAACTTATTAAGTGAAATAAAATATTTGTTTTAAAAGATTTAGCTTATTAATGCAAAATTGTTTCAAATAAAAAATAATTTTTTTGAAAGCTAGACTGTTTCTGAAAAAAAAAAAGTAAAAGCAACACACATTCCATTTTTCTGCAGGAAAAATGCCCATTTTCCATTTACTACTCTCAGGGTTTTTTCCCAGACTATTTTATCCAAAATGAACTTGATCAAAGAGCCCATGAAACCAACAGGAGTCTGGCTAGAGACTTTGAAGCACAGACATGTACATCGAGACACAAACACCAGGCATCGGTTAAACAATGCCCATGGCACCATTTTGTTTCCACACTCTACCTCTAAGTCGTTCTCTGCTGTGCATGGTGCATGGTCCTAAATTGCTTTGGGCTACTTTTTACACCCTTCTGAAAATAAAGACAAGTCATCAATCCTGCACCAGTAGATCACTGACCCCAGTGTATAAGAAAACTTCAGGGTCACAGCTCTGAATTGCTGAGGAACTTAATATGCCCACAAAATCATTTTGAATTCAACCCAAAATTTAAAGGAAACCTGATATATAAAGATCATTTACGAATGTGTTAACTGCTTCTAGTTATGTTCTTAAACAACAGAAGATTTGTACTTCAGGATATGCAGTACTCGGAAAGTTTTCCAGGCTAAGTACAGAGTAACACAGGAGAGTTTTGCAGATGCTGTGCCATTTCACTTACCTAAGCCGAAACAGGGAGTTTTGAAAAGAGTTGATCAATAGTCTAAGAGCTGGCTGTGATAATTTAATCTTTGAGAGATACTGAAAGGTACAAAGCATACATCTGAATCTCACACTTTTTTTATATAGCAAAGCCCCTGTGAAGTGATTTTGAATAATAAGGAAGTGTTCAAATTCTCAGCATATTAAATACAGTTCTCTCTTAGCTCTCACACACACAGACCAACATGTCAAAAGAGGAACATTAAGCCCTATGCTCCTCTTACACATTTTGAAGTCCAATTCTGAAAAACACTAAGCTAATCTTGTAGCACAGTCTCACTTACAGCCCACTGCAAACCCTGATGAATAGCAGAGTCTGTTCAATGCGTTTTAGCATCCTCAAGCTGCAGAAGCTCAGGCCATACTGGCATACTGGTCCCAGTCCGAGAAAGAGTTTACATGTGTGCTTGACACTCAAGATGGAATGAGCTGTGTTGTTAAATTATCCATGTAAGTGTTTTACCAGATGGGTCTGGTGTCTTCAGCACCATGTAGAATCAAGGGCCAGCTTGGAAACTCTTAACAACTGCAAAATACCTTGCATATTTGCTCACCAATTATGTTCTTTAATTTAAAATGTTTTCTCTGTAAGAAAGCTAATGACCCTGGGCTAATCTGCATGTACAGATGTGCACATTAAACTGAAATTTTCAGTTCAAGGATTAGTCTGGTCAAGAAAGCATGAAGGTGGTGTGTCCATGTGGTCACCACTGCTCTTGCTTGAAGTGCATATCCAAGCTGTGCTACAAAAGCTTCTTGCCCTGCAGCACCCGCCATTGTCCCTGTGGAAGGCAGCAAGGGGGGAGATGAACTCCACCTGCCCACACGCCACTTCTGCCGCTGATATGTGGTGCAGGCAGCACCGGGGGAGGGCACGCCAGAAGCAGGCAGGAAGAGCTTGCAGGCAGCAAAAGGGAAATCGGGAAGTGGAGACCAGGATGGAAAAGTCTGCAGAAGCACTGGAGGTACTAAGACTGCTCCTCAGCTTTGGCACCGGCCAGCAGCTTGAATAAGGGAGTCAGAGCAGCATCATGCAAGCACCAACACGAGGAGCTGGATTTCATCAGACACTCAGTTGAAGAAAGCAGCTCGAAGGAAGGGGAGAGTTAGCCAGTAACACAGGCAGGCTTGGTGAGAGCTGGGGGAAAGCTGGAGGCCGGGCAAACTGAAGACAGGGCAACAAAGGAAGTGCTTCACAATCTCCGGGTGAGATTTTAACCTGTCCCTGACCAGAGGTGTGCCCTGACACTCTGCCCTTTGCACACCCCAGAGCTACACCCACCACTCACTCTTCAAAAGGAAAAGGAAACAAAGCCCACATACCATCTAGTTTTTCTGAACCTCACTTTCAATGTACAAATCTCTCAGCTGACACCTGCAAACATATATCTAGACTTTCCTAGTCCACCTATTCACAGCATGGAAGTTTATGAGCCTCACCTAAATTAAGCTGAGTTGAAACCCACCTCCCAACCAACTCAGTTGAGCCATTCTAGATCATCCATGGTTACAGGTCCATCATACTTGGCTTGGAAACAGTATCTCATGTCCAAAGGCATCAAAAATCCCTGATACCAATTTCTACAACCGAGTATGGCGGAACATACTTCAAGTTCCTAAATTCCATTTTAATTCCCTTTTGAAATATTATTACATTAACTTACTGTCTCCATCTGCCATTTGAAAGGGAGAGCAGGAGAAAAGAATAAATCAAGAAAGTTCAGAACTTAGCACAATTACTTAAATGCCATCCACTTACTTCCGCCTGAACACGTGCTTAAAACAAAACGTTAAAAAGAAAGGGCTACAAAGGAGGTTTTCAAGAGGGGAACTGAAAAAGCCTGAGAACGTTCTAAGGAGTACAGGAAAAGTGACAGATTCAACATTAATAGGTAAGTTTGATCCCGTGACATATAGTCCATACGGAAGGAAGTTAAATAACAGGGCTCTATATCAGTTTTAATGAAGTTAATGGACTGATTCATATCAGTCAAGGAGTGTGTCCTAATTTTTTAGTCTTTCCTGCTTCTTTCTTTAAGAACAGCTGGTGTTTTATTAATGTAAAATATTAACTTTCAGTTAGTTCTAGGTTTTGTTCCTATTACCTACTTCAACACAAACAGTTCAGATAAGTCCTGGATAAACATGCAGGCTGAAAGTTGCTTATCTGAATCAATCCAAACCACTGAATACTTTGAAGTTGGTCAATTGTATATGCAGTGGAAACTGCTAATTACCTCCTAGTCACCTCATAAAGGCAAAATGATCCTCTAAACTTGAGTCATTCCTGCACAGTAAATGATGATAAAATAGTTAAACCACTTCTAATTTACTAATATAGTTACTTTGTTTCGGTGTTGAGTGTGCCTTGCTTGAGCACCTTAGTTTCAAAAATTATGAACAAACCTTTGGCTGATTTAATTTAAAAGAGGAATTTATTTCCAAAACAAGCATCCTCACATGGACTTGGACTGAAATAACAAAAGATGCAAATTATAGCGGATTTTGTTATTAGCATGTGGACAAGTTGACAATCAGGAAGCCATTTGTCTTTCCAAATCCAGTAACATTTTTAAATGAGCCTTTTTTTCTTCCCCAGACACCCCAGAATAGAGCAGTATCATGAAGATAGGGAAGTTGACTGTAAGATACAGTTTAGTAGTGCTAAAGCTCAACCAGTGTCCTCAGGAGTTCATTAAAAACAAGCCTTTATTACTCAATTTGACATTGCCTAATAAGATTCCAGAAGAGATTTTGCTTATTTTAGGCTAATGAGAATTTTATAGACAAGTAATTTCCGTATTCTCCCAAGAGAAAGTGATAGATTGGTGCACAATAGACTGGCTCCCCATCCTTCATTTCTTTAGCATCTTTCTTCTCCTATTAAGTCTTTTTCTTGCTTTCTGTCCACTTTCTGTTTAAAAAAGTAATGTCTCTATTGGCATGGAAAATAAACATTAGGAAAAAGAAAACAGTCAGAAGACATGTTTTATTTAGTGTTTGATAAATTAATCCTCAGGGAGGTATCCAGGCATGCTAACACTAAATACCAGTTGTAGCCAAAAAAAAAACCCCAAAAAACCCCAAAACCAAAACAAAAAAAAAACACCAATAACTTGCATATTCTGCAGTATTTCCCTGGCATGAAATCTGTTGGCCAAAATAAGAGTATTGTGAATCACACATACACCTATTATAAAATACATTTTCACATGTCTTGATGATGGCAAAGCCATTGACAGCTACTACAAAATTAAACTTCCTATTGGGTAACCCCGGTCTGCAATTGTCAACACAGAAGCATGAAAATATATACAAAATCTCCCATGCTTATTAAGTCTAACTCTAAACAGTGAA